TGGCGACGGATTCGATCCGTCAACAATAAGTATTAGCGACAGGTTAGATCCGTCACCAATAAGTATTAGCGACAGGTTGGATCCGTCACCAATAAGTATTGGCGACGGATTAGTTCTGTCACCAATGTTCCATCGCTAATACTTATTAGCGACGGATTCGAATACGTTGCCAATACTTATTAGCGACAAATCGAATCTGTCGCCAAAGTTCTTTTGTCGCTAATACTTATTAGCGACGGATGCGATCCGTTGTCAATACTAATGTGTCCATCATAAAAAAAAGTAACATTAGTAATTGATTATCTCATTGTTAATGAGTGGCCCCAAAAAAATTAAGAATTATTTTAATATTAGCCCCTGTTTGTGGAAAAAAATTGTAGTAAAAGAAACAAAAGAATAATCGATTTGTATTCCTTTAATCTTAATTACAATTGGATTTCCTGATTACAAAAGAGAAGAGAATGATTTAGATTCTCCCTTTGTTTAATTCTGGGTTCTTCACGGTGGCAATGGAGTGCCTCCTTCGAATGCTTGCATCAAATTTGCACTTCGTTGATGATCCGAACATCTTGATTCACTAGAACGATGTCTTCTCCTCACGATTTGACGCTATGAAGAACTTGTGTGGCAAGTTTGAAACTCTAGATCAGTTGATAACTCTGAATGAGTTTGAAACTCTATGAAAGAGTTGATTTAACCAAAGGTCGATGATAAGCCAAGGATGAAGGCTCTCTGTTGTCGAAGTTGAAGATGATCTTTGTTGGAGGATGATGCTGATCTCCTCAAAAGCTCGCCCAAGGATCTCTCTTGTTGCTGCCAAGCCGAAGCGTCAATCTGAGCCAAGAAGTTCTAACCTTTAACTCAGTTGCGTTTCTTCTTATTTATAGGGGATTAAGGGGGTGTAACCGCCCCTTAAATCGCTCCTAAGTGGGGTGTAATCGCCCCTAAATCGTGGGAAATAGTTTTGAAACTGTTCAAGAGTTTAAGGGGTGCACTCCCCCCCTAAAATATCTCCATAATAGGGTGTAACCGACCCCATTAAGTAGAGATACAGTTTTTAAACCATATAGGTTCTGTTTGAACCAGTCAGACACAAAAAATGTAGGTCTGACCCTCGCCTTTTGATGTTGCAACGCAGGTCCGACTCCGACGTTTTGATGCCGACATGCGGGGAGGACCTCTGCGTTTTGGTGTTGCAACGCAGGTCCGACTCTAGCGTTTTGTTGCTGACACACGGGGAGGACCTCCACATTTTGGTGTTGACACACGGGGAGGACCTCCGCATTTTGTTATGGGAGTTTGGAGCACAGCCACGAGCTATGCGTTTTGAATTTGGGACACATAGGTGAGCTCCGCGTCTGAATTTGAAGAGACTATCGATTTGTAGTCTCTTTTGCTAGAGCGTTGCAAAGATCACCATCTTGTAATCTTCATCTTGGCTCCTTGAAAATATAAGAATCGTTAAATTATAACTCCTAATGTTGATTGTGAAGGTTGTTGATTAGAGCTGTCATCGGTTGTCGTGAAGGTCGTCAGATTGTAACCTTCATCGATCTATGTGAAAATCTTCAAATTGTAACATTCTGAAAGTCGTCAGATTGTAACCTTCATCATTGGTGTTTGATGGGGGATCAGCTATCTATTATGATTTTTAGACAGCCTACAGTCCCTCAAATCTATAATATTTTAAATGTAGTCCACCAAATTATATAAATTGTTAACACATCTAGAATGTAAATGAACCAAATAATTAACAAATAGTTCAATAATTGTTCAAATATATTCAGTCATATTCGATTCTGTAGTTCATTTAACAAATTCAAGTTTGCTAACGATTAGAATTTGACCAGATGTATATTTGATTCGTTTGTTTATTAAATATTCGTTTAAAATTCACCACATGTTATTTGTATTATTGCACATATGATGTCATATTTGTGAGTTTTTGGCTTCATCTTTGATTAGTTTAGAGAAAATAATGAGAAAAATAAAAATGATGAGAAAATGGTGAGAGACCAATGAAGATATCATTTTTAGTTATAAGCGTTTCGAACATGGAACTATATTGATTTTGCTAATGATATACCAGAACTTATCATAGCTCTTTTCAATGAATTAAGAATTTTATGTTACTTTTAAAATTTTTTTTTACTCTTTATGCTAGCAGATTCGATGAGCTTTACTATTCTTTATGCTAGCAGATTCTATGTTAGTTTTAAAATTTATTTTTTATTTTTAATATTTGTTGTTTATTTTTAAAATTTAATTTTTATTTTTAAAATTTATTTTTTATTTTTAAAATTTATTTTTTATTTTTAAAATTTATTTTTTGTATTCGAGTTTGCTAACGATTAGAATTTGACCAGATGTATATTTGATTCGTTTGTCTATTAAATATTCATTTAAAATTGATCACAAGTTATTATTTATATTTTACATATATGATGTAGTGTTTTAACCACTTACTTAAGTTTTATATATCGGTTTTAAGACTCACATAATCTTAAAATCTATTTTCTAATTAAATTTTGATTTAAATATATACACATTATA